TAAACATCCCTCACCCCAAATCAATTACATATCTTGGGGCTCAGCATAGAAATAAGACATCTATTTTATTTACTCACTTTAGTAAATTTTCCTTTTCAAAACATGGCCTGGAATTGATTTCAATTGTTTCAAGAGGCCCACAGGTATCCAGCCCATTTAGAATTATTTAAAAATGCTTGAGAAATGACATTTGAAGACACTAAGTTCTTCCTAAAATGCAGGCCAGACAAGATCTGGATGACCTACTTTATACCCAAGGCCCCCCAATATGCTGGGCTGTTCTTTTATACCCCAAATGACTATTATTTGAGACCACACCCACTTTAACACACTTTCTCTTTATAGCTGGAAAAAAGTGTTTTCTGGAAAGAAATAGCTATAAGAAAATTAATCCCTAATAAATCAGAAGGTGCCTTTTAAAAATCCAGCTTTCCTAGACCTTCTTTGGTAAAGCAGTTTCTTGGCAACAGTTTCTGGTTTTTTTTTTCACAAATGTAAAATAGATGCTTTTCTTAACTCCTGGTGTTGCCAACGTATTAACAGCTATTAGATTTGATGGCAGAGAGTTTTATTACTGTAGACAATTTGTAACATATTTACTATTATAGAACAATTCTATTTCTCTGATTGGGGCTCTTCAGATCTCCTTTTGATGGAAAGGAACTAGTTCCTGCTTATGAAAGCACATTATAAATCTTAGTGAGACATCTGAGGGCCACTGCCTTTCTTTCAGTAGAATCTTTCAATTGAACCGCTTAAGAAGAGTCAATAGCCAAGGAATATTGACTTCCCTTAAGCAGTTCAATGTATTCTTTATACAGTCAGATTCAGAAGGCAGAGAAGAAAATCTAATGCTCATGTTAGAAGTGAAGTAGTCAGGAGGGAAGGGGGTCTTGGTGTGTGCCACATCTTTTGTGGGCAAGACACGATTGTAAGAGGGATTTTGCCTAACAAATGCAATCAGTGTAAGCTGGTTTCTTGTACCCTCGATGAATCCCCAACAATAAAGTAAAATAATAAAATAAAACATCTTTCAAATTAAAAAAAAAAGAAGTGAAGTAAACAAATGGTAGAAAATTTAGCAAATACTAGATTAAATCTGAGAATAACTTGTAAAGCATTAATCTCTCATTAAGACTATTGAGGTTCGATCCCAGATTTATTAGTAAAATATAGCTATAGAATACATTAGGCAAGCTCTTTTGAACGCAGAATCTTACCTGGAATAATAGGGGTATCATGTGGCTACTTCACTTATATTAATTTTTAGAGTGCACAGTAGCTACCATAAAAGGTTGTGGCTCTCCCTCCAGAAGATCTTCTGGGTAGGAAATAAACTGGATGGTTTCTTAAGGTTTCCCCTGGCCCTGTGATTTTGCAAACAACAAACTCTACTTGAAAGCTGTTATGTCTTATGGCCAGGGGCTGGGGGTTGGTGAGAATGAAGTAGTGACTACTATAATGGATAGAGGGCATCTTTCTGGTGTGATAAAAATGTTCTGAAATTTGATAATTGTGATGGTTACACAACCTGTGAATTTACTAAACAACCGCCGAATCCAACCGCTTTAAAAGGATGGAGTTTATGGTGTATGAATTATACCTGAAAACAAAAATTTTAAAGAGTATCATGTCTCCATTTAGCTGCTGTTAAGGTATGAACCTTTATTTAAAATATTCTCTAACTTAAAAGATCTATATTTTACCACTAATAGTTAAATAAGTCTTACTAATGTCATTGTTTTTGTGCTCTATAGCACAAGGAATAGTATATATTTTAACCTCTTAAGTCTTTTCTGAAAGTGTTTTGGCCAGAAAGAATTCTAAACTATTCATTTAGTTTTCTTTAATAAAATTAAGAACATTTATTGTCCATATGTAAGAATGGCAAGGATTTTAGAAAATTCTGAATGTATGTAGCTTGCAGTAAAATAAATTACCACTGGCTTTCATTTTGTCTCTACATTTTGGATATAGTAGTTGCTGTCAATAAAAGCTTCACATTCATGGATGGCGCTATTTCAATTCTTGTTAGGAATCTCAATCTCAGATAGGAACAGTTTCCTGAAGATCATTAAAACAGCCAAGGAAAATCACTAGTTTAATTTGGTGGTAGTCTACTCTCTTCTGAAAAGTCTCGATACTGACTTCAACACACACACATATTTTCAAATCTTCAGAGATAATTTCTTTTCTTAGACACGCAGAGAAGTTTGAAAGATTAATCCCACAATCTTCCACACATGAAAAGAAACTCTCAAAAATATCCTCCTAAATTGACTAAAATAAGTTTTCACTACTCCAAAGATACTTCTGTGGTTATTTTTATATCAGTTATTTTCCTGGAGTACAAAAGTTAAAATATCTACTGCACTTTCCATTCATAACGTAAAAAAAGAATTAACTAGAGTGCAAAATCACCGTTCTCTAGCGTTGGAAATACAAAACACGGAAATATACTATTTTTAAACCAGCACACACTTATACCTGAGCAGACACACACACGTATGTTACATGCGAACATATTAAAAGATGCATCTTCCTTACACATGGGCTTACTTTTATTTCATCCTGTTTATAGAATGAAGGAAATGATGCAGATACCAACTAATATCATACTATATGTATTCCTGCCAGCTTGTAGTCACTTGGTTTTTAAAAGCCAAATAGATGCAGAATTAGATTACAACAGGATCTCTCTAGACGGACAGCTAGAGCGTGACATCTGAGAATTGAGCACAAAATGTGGGGTTTCCTTGGAGGTGTGGCCCATTTTCTTACTATCTACAGAAAACCCTCAGATAAGAAAAGACTGAAATGCTCCCGGTTGGGGTAGGGAGCCCTATGGCTTTTTCAGAGTCAAAAGGGGGATGGCGGGGAGGGGAGATGGAGTTGAAGGGAAGGATCCGGGAGAGAAGAAATGAAGATCCTCAAGCCGGAGAGAAACGTGCCACTCCACCCTCCCTCCCCCGGCCCGCCGGGAGCCGGGAGCCGCGCGCAGGCCGAGGCCGGCGCTGTCCGCGGTGCTGAGCAGCCGCCGCGCCCACTCACCGGCCAGCGCCGCCGCTCCCAGGAAGCCGAGAAGCACCGCCAGCTGCATGGCCCGGATCGCCCGCCCGCGCGCAGAGCAGGATGGCGGCTGGACAGCGCGGCGAGGTGCCCGAGGACGGCGAGACGGAGACGCCCGGGAACCAGCGCGCGCCCGGGTCCCCGCGGAGTGCCGCACTCAGCGCAGGCCCCTCTCTTTTAAAGGGCAGGCGGGGGCCGCAGGGCCGGGAGGGGCCGGCAGCCCGGAGCGGCGCCCCCTAGCTCCGCTCTGACGTCACGGAGCGCCCCCCTCCGCCCCGGGCGGCCGCGCCAGCCGGCGGAAATTTACGCCAGTCCAGTCTCCGGGGTGTGCGTGGTCGGTCTGCGGCGGGGCGAGGCGGGGGTGGGCAGGGGGGAGTCCGCGGAGACGCAAGATCGGAGACCGGGGAGAGGAGGGAGGCCCTGCTTAGACCGCCTGCTCCCCGTCTCCCCCGCACACACCTCCAAATCTAAAAACATGTGTTTGTGGCTGTGCGTGAGTGTGGGCCTGTGCGAGTGCATGCGTGACTGAATGTGTCTGCGTCTCCACCACCCAGCTGAGGAAGAGACTCCGGCTAACGGGAGAGGACTAAACCGTCGCTCTGGGAAAGTGGCAGAGAGCGATGGCTTTAAAAATAAAAGGTGCAG